GAGACCCTGTCTTCTTCCCCAACACCCAGGGATGCTGACCTCTTCCCCAGCTGACAAGAGGGGAGGCACCATCACAGGGGCACAGACCCCAGTCCACTCAGTATTCACTATAAAGTATTATTAGTTATTGATGCTGAAATTACTACATCCTACACTGATGCATCATTATTTTCTGGTTGAATTTTTTTATATTGTTCTTCAGTTCCACGGATGTATCTTTTGTTCATAGCAGATTTTTTAGAAGGAATGACTCAAGCTCATGCACAAGGTAAGTCCCATTAAATCTCAGTTTTCAAGGGGAATAGTGCAACAACTGTCACATAATGTGAACTGGAGATACCCCAGTGACATCCATAGTCAAAAATTATATAACACTTTACAAAATATTAATATATTGCTGTCTAACCTTTCTTAAATGATGAGTATAGTGACATTCCACAATTTATGTGATGCCCACAGAACAAGAAAGTCAGGAAGTGATTTCTGATAGCTTCCCAACATACTGTTCCAGTGACTCAGTACATCCTTGAAGGACAAGAACACAAATAAAACTCCCACTGCATTCCAACCTGATCCATTTAATGGCTTTTTAGTTCTAATAATCTTTATTTAACAAGAGTGATTATTTTCAGAAAGCCATTCTAGACGGATGACTGAAGTCAAAATAATGCTGACTGCTTTTCTTGCTCCGTACAGGAATCTGTGGTTCCTACCACCTGAGATGGACCAAAGCCGTGTGCAGAGGAATTACATTCCCTTGGCACTCCAGCCACTGCATCCGTCAGTCCCTCAACATTTCGCTCTGGACAGAAATAAAGGGCCTAACTAGCACAAGTTTAACAGCACAGACTAATGTCTTCTGCTGAGGAGGTGGAAGCTGAAAAAGCTAACTCTCTTGTGATCACTGCTTCACATTAAACACAAATCTCTGGAGTTCGAGTTCAGAAAGGCTTTGAAACAAACCTCCTAGTCAGTGATTCACCTGTTTCACAGCACATTCATTCCCATGCAGGTGCCCTCCTCTCTGTTCTCCATTTGCTCACACGCATCTCACAAACGGCAACCATTAATCGTCCAGTTCCATCACAACTACTGATCGTTAAAGAAATTTCCAAGTCCTTAGGGTTCAGCTGGCAAGTTTACTGCATTATTGACTTCTGCACTGCACGCTCTTGAAATCCACCTTGTGAATGCTATACGGCATGACTTTCAGAACAAAATAATAAGCATGGTAAAGTGCACATACACGAACTCCCACCCTCCTCCCAATCAGCACCAGCCCTTACCCTGGGGGAGCCTTAGATGGCTACTTCAAAATAAACAGGCAGCCTGAAATAAGCTTTGCCCTTTTAACTGCAAGCAATTAAGCACACTAATCTCTAAAATGCCAGGTAAGATCTGTGAGAGGAAGGATGGGAAAGTTCCATTCTCATTTGAAATGGTGGACAGGCATTTGTATTTCGCTAATGGGAGTTTTTCCACTAACACTTTAATACCACAGCCTCAGGGATCTCGTTCGGACAATAACTATTTCTGGAACAGAGCATGCTTTGGCATGGATTATTTCAAACAACTTGTCAAAGTAACTTTCTCTTTAAAAAGTACTTTTAACACCAGAGATTTGTATTCAACGTAAAAATAGTAATTTGATGTGGAATGATGTGAAAGCAGCTGAATCAAAGCAAAACAGGTAGGGCTGAAATTCATACCTACATATCAAAAGGTGCTCTGAGAAAGAAGGCCTTTCCTTTAAACATCTTTTACACTTATTTCTGTGAGCACCTAACATCCTTCTGTGTTGACAGTGCTGAAGAGAAGCCCAGTTCACAACACTCTGGTTCACTCACTACTTCCCAGCAGTATCGTCTTTAACAAAATGGGCAATACATCACTAAAGGAGACGTGAAGTTGAGAAGAATGCACAGGCCCTCGCAGGGCAGACGGGACAGGAGGTCTTCAAAGCGATTGTGAACACTGGGTGGCAGGGTCAAAAGAAGTCAAGGAGTGTCCTGGAAGTCTCCACGCTACAGCTCCATACCAGCTATGCAACACAGCTACAGGTACTTTGCCTTCAAAGAGTCGCTTAAAAGCCTGGTGGCAGGCCTGGCGCCCGGCAGAAATAACCGAGTTCATACGGCATGAAGGTCTGTTACCGTGCTGAGCGCATGACGCAACCCTTCTGCCACTGCGGCCCAGGAGCAGAGGAATCCTGACGGCACAGGAGAAGTGAGAAGAAGAGCTTCCATGTTTATAGGGTTTGGTGTTCAGGGCTGTGCCTGGTTTATAAAGTGCCCGTGTTTCAGAGCACAGCCAGTGAAGAGGTGTGCAGGTGTCTGTGTGCTCCGCTCTCTGGTGATCTATGTAATAAATTCTGAAACTCACATCGACTTAGTCCATGACCCCTTGCGTCCTTCTCCATTCAAATCCTACTGATTTCAGAAAAGCTTGTGGAAACTATCAATTCCCACTTTATCTGGCATAACTGATTCTGAGACGGAAGCCAGGCATCTCCATAGGATGTAAAAAAAGTGAAAGGTTTTAATAATCAAGACTCCATGATTAGCTTCATGTACTGTAAAGGAAATTACTGACATCTTTATATTTTTTTTAATCAATAAAAAAAGTGTGAAGAATCACACGCAACTAAACAGCACATTTTATAAACGCAGCAGTCCATCCTGACCATGATGATGTCAGAATACAGAAACGCGGAGGCTTTTCAAGCACATGGCTGTCTTTGCGCTGAAAAAACAGAACTGATGTATTTTTGAATCACGAATTTACTTACATTGATGAAATGTCACTTTTAGTACATGCAAAAAAGGAATTCTGAAGGTATTTCATTCTGGCACAGTAACACAAATACCATAATAATAATTCTTTGCACTTATACAGCCAGTTGATTCAAAATATGAGGAGGCTGTGTTTGTGCAAAGGATCTCAAAGTGCTTCAGACAAAGAAGGGGACCCACTGCAGCTCAAGGGCAACAACCACCTGCCACACAAAATAAGGTGGAGATGTCAGAAATTTGCAGGAATTCAAGGGTTTAGCCAGGGCCCCAGAGTTAAAATCCTGTCTCTAACAAGCAGCGCCATGAGATCTTTAATGACCCGTAGTCAGGATCCGTTTGCTGTCCCATCAGAAAGCTGTGTCTCCAGTCACCCTAGTCCAGAGGGCAGGACGCCACCTACTGGTCCACTTGCAGCAGCTACCCAGTAGACAGAAGGGTCCCAGTTTGGACCCGGCTCAGCCTTGCTCAAAGAGCTGATGTGCCTGTACCACAATAGAAAAGAGGTTTTATGAATAAGTCTTTATTCTATACATCCCCTTAATTAAATCCTGTCACAACTAAATCTGCATTAAGCAAATCACATCTGATCCTACATAGCGGTGTGCTGCATCACACAGTGCTCCCTGAAAATCCTTATTTCTGTCTAGTGCAATTTTAACAGACAAATGCTCTATTTTTTGTTCAGTTGTATTATATAATAATAACTACTCAGTTATTAACTTGATAAACCGGTCAACATTAGGCTCAGTACAGAATCAAACACTTTAGTCTTCAGACTACGGCACACCTAAGCTCTTTCTCCCCAGTCAAACAACACACATCGCTCTGTACCACGCCCTCAATGCCTGTCCCCAGCCGGGCTCGGAGCGGTTTGCAGAGTGCTAATCCTCTGGGCCTCCCTGCCCTCTGGGTTAACCTTTCTTCCTCCCAGGAGGCCTGGATCCTGCAGAGGAACAGACCGTGTGCATCACAGCGCAGACTCCAGTGAGGACTGACACTGAGCAGCTCAGACAGGGCTAATACCTGGATTATGAGCTCAAGACCAAAGGCACATGGCAGCTCTCAGCACCGGTGAGCCCTGGAGTACGTCCTGCGCGGTGCTGAAGGAAACGAGTGCAGCAACAAGACCCCCCCCCACATGCACAACACCTTCACTGCCTTACCGGCAGCAGTCACTCCTGCTCCTCCTCCAGATACCCCTGGCCATTACAGGTAGAGTAATAGTAAAGTAAAAGTGCAGCTGCTTTTTGTCCACTGCCTTCAAAACAGACAGAGCTTATGGGGAAAATCCCATTAGACGCTCACTCACACTCATGTCTAGAGGAAGTTTATGGAATCCGAGAGGCCTAGATGTCAGGAAAGGCCAGGAAATCAATTGGATTGCAATGCACAGACTGAAATTGCTTCTCCCTGAAACCTTTTTCTAGTTCTAGTTCAGGAGTTAGGACACTGCAAAAACTGAAATTTTGAAACAAACAGTATGTTAGCATAAGATATTTTACAGACCTCACCCTTCCACATTATCCAGCTTATGACTGGTTCCACTTTTGGAACGGCGTCACTCTTTTGCACCACATTTTCTTGGCTTCATTAGAATTTTATCTAACTGGATATACGGACGGGTATATACTGTCCTTGGGTCCCGAGTTTCAATCTGGACCTTCTATGTGGAGTCTCCATGTTCTCATCTGCACGGATTCTTTGAAGGGCGTTCGCTAGGTTAATCAGTGTCTCTCGTCTCTTCAGCTCTGCGCCACCTCAGCCCTGACCAGGAATAAGCACCTAATAATGAATGATCAAGTGGATGGATATAGGGTTAAAAATATGCCTGCAATTTTATTTTCACTTGCATTCTTTCAGGTATTATTTTTTTCTGAATATTAAAAATTCTACTGCATGGATTATATTTTTCCCCAATTATATACCGCAGTAAGTGTACAAACTGATAGTATGAATTGATTGATACAAATTGATGGAAGACTGTCCATGATTTATCATATTTAAATACACTATAAACGCATGACTTAGAGGGGAGTAACCATTGGGCACATTGCTGTACAGTACTGGGAAATGCTGTATAATCTTGTAAAGTGCTCCGTGGCTCTATAGCAAGTAAAGAGAGTGAGTGACCTCCACCATGACAGCAGACAGGCTGGAGAGGCTGGCAGTGTTTAAGATGGAACCCTGTGAGCTCCTCTGCTCACAAAGACAAACAAAATCAATTTGCCCAATTAGCACTGTCAGCAAAATGACTGAAGAAAACTGCAAGGTCATTACTTAGAAAGGAAGGAAGTTATCTGGAACCAAAGAAGCAGGAAAGCTCTGCCTAGCCCTTCGTGTTGAATCGCGCTGCAGCCCAACTCCTGGGATTATCAGGGACTGCTCGCTCCTGTCAGCAGCTGGAGACATCACAAATGCCCACGGGATTGTTCAAAGCAAACACTAAAACTGGTTAGCGGGCTGTGATGAATTTATAGGGGGGCCAAGATGCAACAACCTTGTAAAGAAAATGCAAACTGAGCTTTAGTGTGAGTACGAGCGTGTCTGCCCGTGATGGACCGGTGTGCTTTGCACCTATTGCCTGCTGGGATGGGCTCTGGCTCCCCACCACCCTGAAACAAGTTAAATACATAGAACAAGGATGGATGGATCTTGTTTTATATTGGGACACTTCCTATTCTGTTGCAAACATCAGACTGACAATCCCTGTTATTATTCACTAAAACCTCCCTCTTGGGTCTTTCGAAAACATTTTTTTTACCTGTGCTTTAAATTCAATCTATTAGTTTGATTCTGACCTTCGTATAACCATTTTAGAGCGCATTTTCTTCCATTAAAAAACTTTTGTTTTTTTCCTGAGCATCTGTTCCATTAGATCCTGACCAGAAAGGGCAGTGGTAGCAGATGTGCGCTCCTTTCACAGAGCAGGACTGATCAGGACACTGGGATAAACACACACAGCAGCCCAGCGATAGCACTGCTCTGGTGAGGATGAACAGCAACACAGGGCATCAGGCAAGCAAACAAGCTGGTCTCAGTACCTGTACTGCTTTTTTTACATGAGTCCTTAGTCAGGTTAAAAGTTGCATATCCCACTTTAACAAAACCCAAGTGAGTTAGAGTGGCTCCATTGTTCCCACTGTTCGTTTCCACTTCCTTGTTAGGTCACACAGTGTCAAGACATGAGCATGACACAATCAAGTGAAATTTGGTTTTGCGTGCAAAGCTCAACCTGATTAAACCAGGATACTGGAGAAGGACCAGAAAGAGCAGAAATATCCTTTCTTCATAACTACTGGCAAGTCAGTCTTCCTATTTTAAAAACAACTCAATGACTCTTTTCTCTTTCTGCCTGTATTTGGTGAAATGGCAGTCCTCAGGATGGAAGTGCACAACGTTGTAGCTTGCAATAAGGGTTTTTTTCGAAAAAAATTGTTGTTACTTCCTAGTGCAGTTAAAACAGACCAGTAAATCTCACTCTGTAACAGATTTTTAATTCATTCCGGTCATTTCCTCCAAGGAGAACAAGACATCTGCCTGAATCAAAACTGAACCCCCCCTCCCAGAACTGGAATTCCCTGTTGAACAAGCTCAATCCTAAGAGAGGCAAATCCTTCGACCAAAGACAGTGAAGATAAGTCAGCTGAGAACACAGGCTCTGACAAGGTCAACCTGGCTAAGGTCTTGTTCCATTGTAGAACAGAAGACAAAACAGTGAAAGAAAAGAATATGATAAATCTAGATGCACCAGTACAGGACGCAGCACCGTCAACAAGTACAAGTGCATATATAGGAGATTTAACCATACAAGTAGAAAAGTCAGTATTAGCTGCTGTTCCACCCTTAAGCCTCACCCGCATGGCACAGCTACATGAGCAGCATGGGAGAGGTTTTACAACAGTGCTGCCTGTAGCACAACCTGTAGCCATCGGCGCAAGATTACAGGATTACAGGTGCTCATGCAAATATTCACAGCACATCATCACAATGTGGAAAAAGAAAAACAGAATTCAAAAGACGCTTATTTGAAAGCTGACCGTAAAGGTACAGGGTTTCTCTGGTGTGCACAGCTTCTGTACTATAACAATTACACCTTTTATATATTTATTTTTACAAAACAAATGGTCAAATGGACTAAAACAAAGGCCTGAGCAAGGAAGAGAGTCTAACCCTCCCTGCACAAAGAGCTGCCCCGGACTGCTGCTCAGGGGCCAACCAGTGCACCTCTCCAACTTAGCCCAGTCCACCTTCAGCACCATGTCAAGGAGATAACAGGATCAAGTGGCTGCTTACAACCCATCACAACGATTTAGAAGGGCTAAGTGACTTCCTTCTCCTTGTAGCCTCTCTTATGCAACACCAGACAGCATCCAGTGATCAGTGTGCTCGGCCATGACACTAACACCCTGAGCATGTGCAGTCGAAGCTCAAGACCCTACAACGTCCACACCTGCCCAAGAGCTGCTTTGCTGTCTCATGTCTCTTGCAAATAGAATGCAAAGGAAAAGCTTCAGAGCCTGCGCACTGCCCATCTGTACCTCCGCATCGGCCAAAGGAGCCTTGAAGGATTCCCTGCTTCTGTTAAATTAGAGTCACAACAGAACATTTCAAATGCTTTGCTCCAGAGCACATTCCTGGGCAAAGTAGAAAATTCAAGCTCTCATTTACGGTGATTCTTTCCAACTATCAATTTGGAGCTGTCTACAGCCACAGCGAATACAGTAAGCTGAGTATTTTCATCACCTCAGAGGTGGTCCTCTACCTTAAACCATTTTTCCCCACATAGTTAATATATCCACAATTAATGACCTGGCAAATTCTGGAGTTGTAAATGAATGTTTCTTGGTTCTAATGGCAGAATTCTGCTCCCAATATCACTGAAAGTGGACAGGTCACTCCAGGTAAGAGCAGAAACTGCCTAGAGAGAGATTTTTTTTTATTTGATAATTTACGTAAATTGTTAAGAATAAAACCAATTTATTTACCAATAACTTGTTTTAAAGGGATTTTTGAGATCAGATAACTAGCTTTATTGTTCATTTCTAAACTAAGTCAAGAACACCTGAAGTGGATGTTACCAAGGAGGAAAGATGCAGGAGAGAAGAGCACTTGGCAGCTGCAGCTCTCCGCACGGCTGCTACTCTCATGAACAGATGAGCGCGTGAGCAAGGTCCTGCTACACGCTTAACCAGGGGTAGAATATTAACGATGAAGAACCCCAAACAATCCATCACCAGTAAAACTAAATCGGTAACTAAATGAAGTTACTTCATGAATCTGTAGGCACGTGGCTTTTCCTACACAAATGAGAGGCTTGTGTGAACTGCCTCAGGCCTGTAAAAAAGGTTGGGGTCTGATTAGTGCGCCTGGGCCAGTGTTTGTGGTTATACATGAAATGTGGAAACAACCATGTGGAACCAATTCTGCAGAGGTCAGAGGAGTCAAAACAACAGAACTGGCATAAAGGTTCTGGCTCTATAGTCTCTCTTGAAAGTCCAATAAGCAGGGTTGTTGTGATACTACGCAGTGTAAGAGAGAAAAGAATGACAGATTCATTGCGATTCTGAACAATTCCTGTACAATCACTGAAAACAGGCTCCTAATTCCATACATCACACAATGAAGTCACAATAAGAAACAGTAATCCAGAGGGGAAAATTAATTTGGTATCCGCTGACTCGTTATACAGTGTGCTTTTCCCGATTGTAATCCCAACAAGTACCAGAGTACAACTGTACCTATAAAGTCAAATTCAGGAGAGTGTAAGCAATGCATAGCTGTAAACAATCAGTGCAATTTTATTGACTTCAACAGGGTCCCAGATTAGTGGCAGGACAAGCTGCTCCTTTTCCAGGGCACAGTACCTGAAGGCTGCCAGCAGGGGGCTGTAGATGGAGTCTCCGTCATACACGTACAGGTGGTCCCAGCTGCACTCCGTGGCGAAGTGGTTGAACCGCAGCCTGAGGATGGTGTTGGGCCTGGAGAGAAAGCACGAGAAGTCATCTTTCCCCTCTTCCCACAACTCCTGCAAAGAACTTTTTATTAAAAAAACTGCACATATGCTCTTTAGTGGTAACTAGGGAAAACTACCCAAAAAACTAGGGACTGTTTCAGAGTTGTACAGTTTAAACAAACAAACAAAGCCTCAGGAATGATGGTCTCAATTGTCCAAATTCAGATAAAGGATAAAGATCTGAAACTTGGCATGCTGTAGACACTCCTACAGCGAGCACTGAACGAAGTGAATGAGGGAACAGACAGCGGCTCCGATCATTTTAATTAATACCCCTGGCACACAAGTCCTTACCAGAGCCAGAGTATTAATGGCTCCGCCACGCTGAAAAGCACATTAGGCAACAGACGGAGCTCCCAGCCACACAGTGCAGGAATCCTCCGTTTCCTCAAGAGTGATGAGTGGCAGGAAGATGGCCAGTGTGGAAAGAAACGCATTACTTCATGTTCCTTTTCCTCTCAGGGAAGCCAGATCAGATCTCCACACTGGCAGAGACACCTGCCCCCCTGCGACCAGCCCCTCTCTGCCCTGCCAGGCCCAGCGGCGCCAACCGGCCATGTAACTGGGAGCTGTGGGGACAACTGGGGACGCTGGGGCCGGGCAACTGCAACTGCGCGGCTCTTCCCCACAGGAGCTCCAGAAGTAGGAAGTGTTTCATTAAACCAACAGCAGCACTTTGAAACTCTGCGCCTTGCTGCTGACAGAGCATGGTGGGCTCCCTGGAACTCTCAGGGCTCGCTGCACTCGGAGCATCCTGGCTCTTGGCTCATTCCCGTCTTTTCAGGCTAATCTTTCCTCGTTTGAATCTGCCTAACACAGGAAGCCAATTACCAGAGTGATCGCTTCAAATCAGCTAAAGAGTTGTTTTTATCTTCACTCATCTGTCATTTCATTTCCTGCTCTTCCTGCTCTCTGGTTGTCACGCGCGGTGTGGCTCTGATACTCAGTCAAGATCTGTGCAAAGGCTAGTGAGACTTCAGAGAGGCAGAGCGAGAGAGAGCCAGCGACAGGCAGGAAACCAAAAAACAGTGACCACAAAGGGCTCAACAAGGTCCTGCATGCAAAACACTGAGGCGCATTTAGAGAGGTAACAGCATTAAAAGGTGTTGCATAAAAGATCCAATGATAAACGGCAGTCTCAAACTCATTTCCAGGAAGATCTTCGTTTCCAACCACGTTCTCAATTACATATGTGATCCAATGATTGAATCTGCTGCATAATGTCCTCTAACCAGGTGATTTGTAGATAACTGTACTTCTAATGACATGAATCTCTTGTATAATGAACTGTAAAAAACCTATATACATCTAATTTAGAAAAAAATCTGGGTAACTGTTTGAACAAAAACCCGACAACAAGGCTCTACAGAATCCAAGTTTGAGACCACAATTTCAGGCCTGGGCTGCCCCACTGCAGGAACTGCTGACCTTACGGTCTGCAGGACTTCATTACTCTCTCTGGATATTCAGCCCCTTTACCAACCTCAGTTTCATTAATAAAGACTATTGCATCCTTCCAAGCTCTCAAAATGTTTGATCTTTCAAACTATTACGTTATGTATGTTATAGGAAATTTAAATTCTCCTAATTAGAGAATCTCCTAGCTGGAGGAGTAGTAGAGCTGATTTGGATCAGGGTTCGGGTCAATCCAGAACCGGAAGGCCCCGATACTCCAGCAGGTGTGGGCTGGCAGCACCGGACGGTTATACTCACTGTCCCTCGATCAGCCAGGTGCACTTGGTCTTGTACTTGTAGTTCCCTGGGCCGTCCGTCAGAAACCCAGAGGAGCCCGTCAGCCTGCAGGAGAGCACAGCAGTGAGTCACAGTTCCCGCGTCCAACACCTACCCCCGGCCACCACGCCCAACGCTGGCCCCAGACTTCAGACTGCCCCAAGACCCAACGCCCACTGGCTCCAGGACAGGGCCCCACAAAAACAAGTGATTTTTATTTGAAAGAGTGAAAAAATAATGAAGCAGATTAACCGCCCTTTCAACCCAGGCTGCTGGTGGCATAAAAACCACCATATTCAAGTCCTGACCTGCACAATTACTGTAGGTCGAAGCCCCTGAATAACATCCCTTGCAGGTACACTAGTTCAGTCACTCTGCAAACAGGTGTTTTCTGAAAATGCACCAGTTAGAGCAGAAAGCTCAATGTGCTCACAGTGCAAGTACAGGGAGGCAGGATCTTTCTAGATTCCATTCTTAGATGATCTTTTTCAGATACAAGGGCGAAACTCTCAAGAAAAACTGAGGAGATGGAGTGTCTGACTGCACTTATGGAAAACAAAGTCGGAGCCTTGGGAGGAAGCCTTGAGGAGAAATTGAACAGACCAAACAAGTTAATGCATGAGGGAAATACCTCAAGAACAAAACAAACTACTCCGGGGAGTACAAGCCGGTAGAATTCCATCTGCCCTTCTGGTCCATATAACTGGTTTGGCCCATCTTTGTCTATGTTTGCTAAGCCCAAATAGTACAGTAAAGCACTATGTTATTTTTTATCAATTACTCTGAATCTGGCATCAGCAGAGGAAATTTGCAATACCCTACCACAGAGCGTTAACTTTGTAAGAGTATTTACGAATTTGTACAAAGAGCTATACTGACTGCCTAGAAACGTTCCAGTCAAATCGACCCTGAGAACAGGTAGAACTTCATTAAGAATTTTTAGATTTTTTAAAAAGTATATAAAAAGGATAAAACTGTATATACTGTAGCATGTCATGTATATACTGTAGCATGTCATGCTTACAAAAAAAGCCTAAGAATAACATTCTATTTAAATTACTTTGAGCAGCACTACCTAGATTTTACCATACAGCACTCCTGATGAACCCCACACTTTGCAAGGCTACAAATATTTAAGAAAAAATAAACCACATTCCCAAATCCCAAACAATGTGATACGCAGCATGAGGTGCCTTTTATAAATAAAAAAGATCTGCCTGAACACTAGAGTCAAGAAGCAGATAGAAAGTGAACATGAGGCTGAAGTTCTGACTCAAGGCCAAGACACCCAGCCCTGAGCGCCGGTCCCATCTTTCGGGCCCACAATCAGTACAGCTGAGCGGAAACCGTCTCTCCGTCCCTCTCTGGAGAGTGGAGTCGAGTGCTGCCGGCCCCAGACAACCTCTCGCACTCCAGGCCTCGGGACCACTGCCGTACTTTCAACAGCTCACCAAGCACTGGTCTCTCAAACCCGGACTGCTCCCTAACCTCCACAGTACAGCAGGGACTGCGGCAGCCAGACGGCCAGGGGTTAAACACACATCACTAAGCAGGGCAGAGGCAGACCAAGTCCCAGGGGCTCTGGAATGCAGCCCAGGGAGATAGAGCAAACAGGCAGTTATTACTGTACCTGCCCACAGAGGCCCTTGACACAAAGAGAAAAGACACACTAACAAAAAGTGAAACACACTACAAGGAAAAGAGGAGGGGACGCTCCCAGGAAAACAATTCCCTCATCAAAATACAAAAATGACATTAAGTGACCACTACTACTAAGTGTTCTTGTGAAGAACACCACAACCTTCAAAAGGAAAGCAGTCTATTTTCCTAGGAAGTAAAAAGCAATCTAGCAATCTTTTGTTAGCTGCATAGCTGTGTGGGAGAAGCAGTGCCTGAGAAAAGTTAGGTTTCAGAGTGGAGCTTCGGAAGCAGTTTACTGTAACACCAGGACAGAGCAAAGGCTTTCCCCAAGATTGACGCACAGCAACGTCTCCGGCCCACAGCTCCTCCACCTCACCACAGGGAACTGCCGAGAGCCACATGGTGTCCAGAGCCACTGGGCAGCCCACACCACAGCTTGACCTCGAGTCAGTGCAGGCTAATCCTGCAGGAGGGTGCAGATAAACACCCACACTAGCAGCCAAAACAAGTAACAAACCCAGACTATGTGATCTGACTACAATACACCAGCACCATTCCTTTCCCTGAACACACACTGTGCAGCTGTGAGCAGACCTCCGTTCTTCTACTATCAGAAAGCTGCCCCTCCCTGCTAGTAGAGAAGAGCTATAATATAAAATGAGTGAAGAAGCAAGGACTTGAGCTGACTGGATTTGGAACCTCAGAAGATCTCTCCTGAGATGATGATGATTTATTACTGCATACTGCATTCAAAGCAAGTTATGGGACTTACTGCCCAACTACCAAAACAAATGTCACTCTGAGAAGAAGTACATTCATCACAGGGAAATCACAAAAAAAGAGATATTTACACTTCATCCTGTTCCAGAAGTAAGGCCTTTCCTTGTAGCTCTCCCTGTATTTTATTACCAAGATTTGTTTACCAGTGCTCAGACTGTCACAGCTGCTGTTCAATTATTAGCAAAGCTGTTTCAATCTCTGCCAAAGCTTTTCCATCAGCACGTTAAGAACCGCTTCAGTGATTCTCCCTCGTGTAAAGAATCTAAAAAAGAAAAGCTTTTGTCAGAGTTTCAAGCAGCCCGTTACCAACAACAGTCCCGATCAAGCCCTTCATGTTCTGCTCTGCACAAGAAAAGCTTAAAGCAGGTTGGAGGTTAATTAAGCCATCATCACACGCACCATCACAATCAAAATGTTTAAAACGCTTCAGGGGATCTAGAGATTTAATTACTCAATAAAATCAAAAATGAAGGCTGCCAAGCCAAACCATGAAAGGAAAAAAAATTAAACGCATCCAGTGATTTGTATCACTAGAGCACGAGTAAGCACTATGTATTTTAACTGGATGTATACTGCAAACTTGAAGCCTAGCCACACTGCTGAACACGGCACACACAGTCTAATCCAGCTGTGATTTTTCTTAGAATTGATTAGCATAAAAGCGAATGGGTAAAGATGGGTCTAACAAGCTCCTCTTTTCTTGTGAACACGCTTGTGTTAGTTTTGTTTTCAGAACAAGTACAGCCCCTCCCACCATGAAGACTTGTACAACGTTCCCATGTGCCACACTAGGGGAGTCAACGCATCCGCAAGGGGAACTAGATTTGATTTAAAAGTACCTCAAGCAGGCCACACATACCACGAATTAGCATACTGCTAGGCACAACCATATACAGTTTTAGTTGTAGTGGTGCATTTATGCTATTTATTGTAAAATAAAATACCTCCCTTTGAAATTAAATCAGCAGGCACTGCATCTTAACTTAATGCAAAATTAGCTAAATCTATGCATTAGACATTAAGCATATGAAGTACACTACATAAATCTATTCCCTGTTGAAAAGCATAATTCTTACTACATTATGTCCAGTAGAGAAAATAAATGTGCAATTGCATCCACCCCTTGTTATACAGTGCATTTGCAAAGAGTGCTGCTTCAACACATGTATTGCAAGACCTATTTTTTCACTGTTCAAAGCCATTTTTTTTTTTACAATGGAGGTGATACCCTTGTGATCTTGCTTACCGACGACAACACTGCCAGTGTTCAGGTATTCCAAAACCAACCAAGACCAGGAAAATTTCCCCCTGGCTGTAAACCTTTTCGTGGCCTGAAGGACTGAAAAAGGTTTGTGGTCCTTCTGCATCACCTTGCTCTTAGCTGTGCTGTGAAAGCTCAACAGATTTTGTCTTAAGTACTACAGTATAGGCTTACTACCATAAATGCACAATAGTGTTTTGATTTAGATTAATTCAGGACTCTGAAGACAGTAACTCAGGCAATTTCCTACAGTTTCTGAGGAAGATGAAGAACGCGGAACTGTGTATGTGTGCGTGCAAGACTAATACAGTAACTTCACCAAGGGCTTTTGCCTGTGGGGAACAGCCGGTCTCACACCTGACAGGCCAGGTCTACAGTGCAGATGTGCTGTGCAGTGACTACACCGTACTGCATCTCCCCACTGTTTCAGCTCGTAAGGCATTTACAATCCATCACAGTAAGATCGAGATATCGGATTCAATACTTTTTGAAGCTGCTCACACAATAGAAAAAAGAACACAAGGTATGGTGATAGATGGTCTAATAGGGTAAGGAAACATTTCCACAGTTAACATTTCCATACAGCTGCTGTTCTAGGAGTAACCAAGCCCACTTCACCACCGGTTTTCTGCGCTGGGTTGTGATTGGGTTCTTGGTAAAGGATGCGTCCACTTCACGAGTGTGCCAATGGTGGAGGAATGAAGCCTAGAGAAAAAAACACTTAAGAAGTGCAGCAGACCCGTCACCCTGTCCCCTGACTGCACAGCAACGCAGAGGAGCCAGAGTCATCTGGCGGATGCCGATACTCTGGGGGTATCCGGGGGCATAAGCAATCTTATCTTCATTTGCTTCTGTACCATAAATAAGTCTGAGAAATTAAACCACATATTAACAGTCTTAAGAAGGCTGTCCTGCTTGAGGAGATAAAGATCTACACTTCAGTTTAAAGAGAATTCAGAGAGGCTACAAGTTTCTCTGTGGCTTTTTAGTAATTTGTGAAGAATGTGAGCATTGTGATGGCAGTCAGAGGTCTGAGCAGTTAAGCACGGTGTAACACAAGGCAATGACCCCCCCAGCACAGCCGAAATGGAGCTCAAACACAACTTTCATTCACACAGCTAACGGATTTCACGGCAGCTCCTCACAGTAGACGAGACGGAGCTTTAAGTGGAAAAAGCATTTGCATTTTTCACCCATTTCTATGAGCCCCTCTATAAATACTCGCAGCAGGTCCATGTAAATGCAGGCCTTGTTTTTATTTCAGCATGTGATCTTTAAACCTTGCCATTAAATCACAGCCCCACGCGTCCCCAGACTCTCCGGACCCTGCTCATGCACTTAACACTGCTAGGATTTACCCAGAAAGATCCAGCCAACATCACTG